GATCACGAGGTCAGGAGATCAAGATCATCCTGGCTAACACGGTGAAGCCCCATCTCTACTAAAAAAAAAAAAAACAAAAAATTAGCCAGGCGAGGTGGCAGGCGCCTACAGTCCCAGCTACTCGGGAGGCTGAGGTAGGAGAATGGCGTGAACCCAGGGGGCGGAGCCTGCAGTGAGCTGAGAACACACCACTGCACTCCCGCCTGGGCAACAGAGCGAGACTCTGTCTCAAAAAAAAAAAAAAATTAAATTAACCAAGCATGGTGGTGCGCACCTGTGGTCCCAGCCACTTGGGAGGTTGAGGTGGGAGGATCACTTGGGTCTGGAAGGTCGAGGCTGTAGTGATCCGTGTTCGCACCGCTGCACTCCAGCCTGGATGACAGAGCGTGACCCTATCTCAATAAATAAGAATTCCTCCAGGGTATAAACCTAAAGCGAAGTTTCCAGAGCATACAATTTGCAAGTGGTTGGCCTCAGTAAATGCAGCTTGAATGTTTACTAGACAATAAACACAGTGACCCTTTGGGAGGCCGAGGCAGGTGGATCACCTGATGTCAGGAGTTTGAGACCAGCCTGGCCAACATGGTGAAACCCCGTCTCTACCAAAAATACAAAAATTAGCCAGGTGTGGTGACACACAACCGTAATCCCAGCTACTCGGGAGGCTGAGGCACAAGAATCGCTTGAACCCAGGAGGCAGAGGTTGCAGTGAGCCAAGATGGTGTCACTGCACTCAGCCTTGGCAACAGAGCAAGACCCTGTCTCAAAAATGTATATAAGTAAATAAAAATAAACACAGTGGGCCATGTCCCGTGGCTCACACCTATAATCCCACCACTTTGGGAGGCCAAGGCAGGTAGATCACCTGAGGTCAGGAGTTAGAGACCAGACTGGTCAATATGGTAAAACCTGGTCTCTACTAAAATTACAAAAATTAGCCGGGCATGGTAGCATGTGCTTGTAATCCCAGATACTTGGGAGGCTGAGGCAGAAGAATCGCTTGAACCCAGGAGGCAGAGGTTCCAGTGAGCCAAGATTGTGCCACTGCACTCCAGCCTGGGTGACAGCGAGACGCCGTCTCAAAAAGAAAAATTAAAAAATAAATGAATGCAGTGGCTCTTGCTCCAGTAGCTCATGGGAACTCCTGTTCTTCCACATCCTTGTCAACACTTGGTGCTGTTGGCTGTTTCATCTGGCCGATCTGCTGGGTGTGGAGTGAGATCTTATTGGGGTTTTGCTTGGCATTTGTCTGTAATGAATGAGATCAAGCACTTTTTTGGATTAGACAGGAAATGACGTGCAAATAGATCAAAAACATCAAAATATTAGGCATACTTGAACCTAATTTATTGGTCTTTTGATTTCCTCCTGCACACCTTATTTAGCGCTCCAGAATTAGATTCGCCTGATCCCCTGGCCTGCCCTTTCCCAACTCCCTCTCTTCCTTCTTTCCTTCCATTCATTCCTTTAGTATTTAATAAGCAACTACTATGTGCCAGGTACTGAGCTAGCCAGGGAGGATTGACAGGGTGTGAGACGGTCCCTGCACTCCCAGAGCCCACAGAGCACCAGGCCTTTGACCAGGCTGTGCCCACTGCCTCGTGCACCTGAAATCCTCTCCCACCACCATCCCCTCTGCCCACCCAGGTCCTTCAAGCCAATCCCCTTGCACCAGCCCCTCCCTCCAGGAAGTCGCTCGCCCTGACCCCAGGCACTCTGGTCTCTGATTCCGCTTCAGTCACCACACATAACAGGAAGATAAGTTACAACCACACAGATCACAGAGCCCAGCTCCTCCAGGACCCAGTACAGCCCCAACTGTTTATGCATTCACTCAACAAACATTTCTTGAGCACCTACTGTATTCCTGACCCTGTATTATAAGCTGGAGATGCCATGGTGACAGACAGACATCCCTGTCCTTGTGGGGCTGACATTTGGGTGGGGGAGATGGACAATGAGATTATCGGTAACTCTAACAGATGTTCAAGGAGTGATAAGTGGCCGAGGTTGTGGTGGGCAGAGGGAAAGAGAAACTTTGTAAAGAGGATCTCAAGGACCAGGAGATGGAATTTAAAGAGTCAGGGAAGTCCTCACTGGAAAACTGTTATTTGAGCTAAGTCATAAAGGAGGATAAAGAGGGAATCAAATGGGATGTAGGGAAAAGCATTCCAGAGAGACAACAGCCTGTGCAAACGCCCTGAGGTGGGAGCATCTTGGGGGACAAGAGGAAGTGAGCAAGGGAGAGAGGGAGAGGAAGCGAGGGCAGGGAGCTGACTGGTCAGATTGTGAGGGCCTTGGGGAGAACTTTGACTTTTATCCCTGAATGAGGTGGGAGCCACAGAGGGTTGTAAGCAGAGGAAGGATCTGTCTGACTCAGGTTCACAGCGCCCTCTGGTGGCCATGTTCAGTAGTGCTCAGCCCTTGCAGCTTCCAGGTGGATCTGATTTGGGGTTTTTTTTGGTTTTGTTTTGTTTGTTTTGTTGTTGTTTTGTTTTGTTTTTAGACAGAGTCTCTGTCTCCCAGGCTGGAGTGCAGTGACGCAATCTTGGCTCACTGCAACCTCCACCTCCCGGGTTCAAGCGATTATCACACCTCGGCCTCCCAAGTAGCTGGAATTACAGGCACACGCCACCATGCCCAGCTAATTTTTTGTATTTTTAGTAGAGACGGGGTTTTGCCATTTGGTCAGGCTGGTCTCGAACTCCTGACCTCAAGCGATCTGCCTGCCTCCACCTCCCAAAGTGCTGGGATTACAGGCTTGAGCCAGCGCGCCCAGCCAGTGTCCACCCCTAGTACCTAGCACCAGTCAGACACTGTGCCAGCACACCATCATCTTCATGCCTGAGTGACACCGGAGGTGTGCTATGGTGTGTCCTGGAGAGGGGCTGGGTCAGAGGACGTCGCTCATCCAGGCAGAAACATTGGGCCTGGGGAGGGGGACAGGAAGAATCAACCTATCCTGGGAGGGGCCTGGCCTTGAGGCAAGAAAAGATGCTGTGGCGGGAGGTTGGCCCCAGTGTTTAAGAAACCACGTAGCAACTGTTTCTCGCCCAGGATACCCAGGAAAGCAAGGGTACTGGGGGATTAGATCCGTCACCAAGAGGGATGCAGTCAGCCCTGAACTTCTCTGGGGCCGCTTCTAATCCACTATAGGGCTTGGCGCAAATTTTAAAAGGCACCCTTCCCGCGGGTTAGCGAACCGGTCTAGGACAGTGATTTTGTTTGTTGGGATTTGCTGCCATCTGCTGGACAATTTCATTCACAACATACAAATCTGCGGTATGAAGAGATAGGAGGGGCCCTTGTGCAGTGCACACCCTGCCCAACTGTATATAGCAACTGTGTTTCCTCTTCTGGGTAGAGACTCTGCTCCCCAGTGGGCAATCGTTAGTTTTACCGGGGCGCTGCCGGAACAGGCCAGTGATCCACTGCCCTCTTGTTTTTATCCCCAACAGGTGCTGCGATATTTTGACTACGTTTTTACAGGTGTCTTTACCTTTGAGATGGTGATCAAGGTGAGTGCAGATTGTAAGTGAGAACATGCGGTAATTTTTCTTTTCAAGCAAGTGCAGGGCTGGGCACAGTGGATCATGCCTCTAATCCCAGCACTTTGGGTGGCTGAGGTGGGCAGATCACTTGAGATCAGGAGTTTTAGGCCAGCCTGGCCAACATGGTGAAATCTCATCTCTGCCAAAAATACAAAAATTAGCCAGGCGTGGTGGCTCATGTCTGTAGTCCCAGCTACTCGGGAGGGTGAGGCAGGAGAATCTCTTGAAGCCTAGGCTGCGATGAGCTGATGTGGAGACTGCAGTGAGCCAAGATCATGCCACTGCATTCCAGCCTAGGTGATAGAGTGAGATCCTGTCAAAAAAGAAAAAAAAAAAGAGCCAGGGTTCCAGGAGATTCTGAGCCTTCAAGAATGCCCTGCCTCGAGATGATGAGTCTCCCGGAGGATTAGAAATGCCTGGTGTGGGCCGGGCGCGGTGGCTCAAGCCTGTAATCCCAGCACTTTGGGAGGCCGAGACGGGCGGATCACGAGGTCAGGAGATCGAGACCATCCTGGCTAACACGGTGAAACCCCGTCTCTACTAAAAAATACAAAAAACTAGCGGGGCGAGGTGGCGGGCGCCTGTAGTCCCAGCTACTCGGGAAGCTGAGGCAGGAGAATGGCGTGAACCCGGGAGGTGGAGCTTGCAGTGAGCTGAGATCTGGCCACTGCACTCCAGCCTGGGTGACAGAGCGAGACTCCGTCTCAAAAAAAAAAAAAAAAGAAATGCCTGGTATGTTTGAAGAGCAGCAAGGAAGCTGGTGTGACTGGGCAGAGCGAGAGAAGAGTGGGGAAGTGAAGGACAGAGAGATGAGAATGGGGAGGTGAGGGGCAGCTTGTGCAGAGGATCACAGAGAGAGAGCTCTTTGGCTTTTACTTGGAGTGAGGTGAGAGTCATAGAGGGTTCTGAGCAGAGGAGGGACTCGACCCTTGCCCTCTGGCATCTGTGGGAAGCCAGAGAACCTGTGAGCAGATGATCACACTGGTCCTCATCCCATGGGCGATGATGAGAGGGGATCAGGCTGGTGACCAAAGAAGAAGTGAGAAGTGGACAGATTCTTGGAAGGTTCTGGAAATACAGCCAGTGAGCTTTGCTGATAGAGCCACCCATGAGGGATTTGGGACAAAGAGGCTTCAAAGAGGACCCCAAAGTTTGGATCTAAGAGCCGGCGAGCCAGAGCTGGCTTCCATTAGGCAAAGAGGGGCCGCCTCATGGGGCAGGAGCTCCCCACTCCTCCCGGAGTCCTCTGGCCACTGCCCATCCCTGCAAGATGAGGTGGCCTCATTGGCTTCCCTGCCTGTCCCCAAGAGGCTAGAGAGCGGGTGGCAGCACCCCAGGGTGAGGATCAGGTGGGGGTTCTGAGCACCCTCTCTTCTTCCCCAACAGATGATCGACCTGGGGCTCGTCCTGCATCAGGGTGCCTACTTCCGTGACCTCTGGAATATTCTCGACTTCATAGTGGTCAGTGGGGCCCTGGTAGCCTTTGCCTTCACGTAAGTCTCCTCTCGAGGCCTCCACTTGCCTCTTTTCCCCCAACCCCCAGCCTGGGGCCACCCATCGGATTACAGGACATGTTCTCAGGGTCTAGGGAATGGGTGTGTGGGCTCTGGGGACCTGTGAGATATCAGCATGCCACCAGGAAGAGCTTCGATTGGCTTTTTGCATGACGTCCGTGGAGGAAGAAGGGATCCACCCCCCGCCCCAACCTTCTACCTCCTCGCACAGCAACGGTCCTCAGCCACATCACGGGCCCCTTGCTGTGCTGCTTTCCGTAGACTAGCCTCGCCGGAACATCTCATCCCCCTACTGCTCCGCAAGTGCAACCTAAACCTCTGTCTCTTTGGGAAGTCCCTAAAGAGACAATCAGGAAATGAATGTGCATGAGAATTCTGACCCCCTCCCTGTGCCTGAAGGCCCCGTAGTTGTAGACCCGGTGACTCCCTTTGTGTGCCTTTCACTTCTCCTGGCAGTCCTAGGATTCTCTGCCCTCTGAAAGGTCATGTGTCATCATGCAGCTCCAAAATGGCGCCCCAGTTGTAGGCAGCCATTTCAGGATGGCACCCAAGCACTTAGTAGTCATCCCAAGATGGCATCCAAGTTCTGGGTGGCCATTCCAAGATGGCCCCTGAGTTCTGGGCTATCATTCCAAGATGGCCTTTGAATTTGGGGTGGTCATTCTTAGATGGTCCCTGAGTTCCAAGGTGACCTTTAAGTTCTGGGTATCCATTCCAGGATGGCCCCCAAGCTCTGGGTGGCTATTCCAAGATGGCCCCAAGTTCTAGGCAGCCATTGCAAGATGGCCCGTAAGTACCAGGGTGGCCCCCAAGTTCTGGGCAACCATTCCAAGGTGGCATCCAAGTTCTGGGTGGCTATTCCAGGATGGCCTCTGAGTTCCGGGCTACCATGATAAGATGGCCTCTAAATTCTTGGTGGCCATTCTTACATGGTCCCTGAGTTCCAAGGTGGCCTTCAAGTTCTGGGTAGCCATTCCAAGATGGTCCCCAAGCTTTGGGTGGCTATTCCAAGATGACCCCCAAGTTCTGGGCAGCCATTTCAAGGTGGTACCCTAGTTCTGGGTAACCATTCCAAAATGGCACCCAAGTTCTAGGGCAACCATTTCCAAATGGCCCCCAAGTTCTGGGTGACTATTTCAAGATGGTACCCAACAGCTGAGTGGCCATCAGCCATTAAGGCCCTGATAGCAGACTTAGCACTACATTCCCGAAGTTCTAGACATTTGGAGCAGGATGAGAAACATCTAATAAGTCTTTAATCTAGAAACAAATCTTGGGGACCCTGGCTGTGCCCATCATGGTGAATCATTCCCTGAAAGATTTTGAAAGGATCTTGACCCACTCACTCCCATAGTGAGAAAATCAGGGGCTTCCTCCTCAGCCGATCTGGAGGGGCCCTTGAATGGTCTCCCTCACCAAACAATGAGGACTTGGTTTGTCAGGAGGACCAAAATGGTGGCCCGTTTCCAGTTGAAGGGCTATAAAGTAGGCCACACTTAGATTCTTCTCTGGGAACACAATGAGGTCAAGTCGTGTTAGCACAAAAAATCTCCAGTTTCTGGATGCTTCAGAGCTGGAGATGTGTCATGAAGGTTGGGAGGCTGATTGTATTTCTTTCTCTTACTCTTTCACTCCTTCCTCCTCTTTCTCTCTTCTCTCTTTTTGTTCACTTACTCTTCTTTTCTTTTTCTCTCTCCTCCTCTCCCTCCCCACCTCCTTCCCTCTCCTCAAAGTTTTTGACTACTACCCTCTAGTATCTATTTAACTACCAGAGCAAAGCATGGTGGCTTACACCTGTAATCCCAGCACTTTGGGAGGCTGAGACAGGCAGACTGCTTGAGCCTAGGAGGCCAAGACCAGCCTGGGTAACATAGGGAGAACCCATCTCTTAAAAAAAAACAATTAGCCAGGCATAGTGGTATGCCTGTAGTAGCAGCTACATGGGAGGCTGAGGTGGGAGAATTGCTTGAGCCCAGGAGGTCAAGGCTGCAGTGAGCTGAAATCATGCTGCTGCACCCGAGTCTGGGGAACACAGGAAGACTCTGTCTCAAAAAAATAAAACTTTTTAAAAGTTAAAAATCAATGAATTCGCTATTTAGAGTATTACTCTTTATATGGTTACTGAATAATTTTAATAGTGATGAGTACAAAAAAACAGGTTTAGCAAGCTGTTCTGTAGGTTAAAAAGTAAATAAATCAATCAATAATTAAATAAAACAAAATACAATGCACATCAAATTAGGGGATAAAGATTGTGACAAATAAGACAAGGAGTCCATGTCCTTAAAATATGAAAAGCAGTTACAAGTCAATAAGAAACAGTCCTCCTCAATAGATAAATGGGCAAAGGACATAAACAGAAATCTGATAGAATGCTGGCAACTAGTAAAAATTGAGGTAAATCAACACTTGGAATTCAGAGAAATGTAAAATAAAACTGAGATACAATTTGTTCCCTATCAAGTTAGCACTGTTCCTGCCCCCCCAAAAAGATGATTTTTTTTTAGCTAATAAACAGTGTACATAAGAATGTATTATAATAGGCTGGGCACGGTGGCTCACGCCTGTAACCCTAGTACTTTGGGAGGCTGAGGAAGGGGGATCACCTGAGGTCAGGAGTTCGAGAGCAGCCTGGCCAACATGAGGATACCCTGTCTCTACTAAAAATACAAAAATTAGCCAGGCATGGTGGCAGACACCTGTAATCCCAGCTACTCAGGAGGCTGAGGCAAGAGAATTGCTTGGACCCAGGAGACGAAGACTGCAGTGAGCCGAGATCATGCCACTGCACTCCAACCTGGGTGAGAGAGTGAGACTTTGTCTCCAAAAAAAAAAAAAAGAATGTATTATAATAAAGTATACTTTTCTGTCCCTCCATCACCTATTTAAGCAGGTCCTTCAATGTGCAAGGTAGACATCATGCTAGACTCTGAGAAAATTTAAATCCTAAAAAGCCAAAATGTTTTACCACCCTCAGCCTGGAATGAATCCTTCTCCTATGGAAATAACCTAAGGGTTTCTCGACCCCTCTCTGCCGCTCACCCACTTCCCTCCCTCTCCCCTGCTTTTCTTTCTCCCTCTTTCTCTTCCTCCTTTCTCCTCTCTTCCCTGTCTCTTCTTCCCTCTCTCTGTCTCTTTCTGTGTGTCTCTCCTTTTTCCCTCCACTTTCTTTCTCCTTTTACCCCCTCTCAGTTTCTATCTTTTTATTTTCCTCTTTCTCTCTCTCTCTTTTCCTCTCTTTTTTTCTCACTCCCCACACTGCTGATGACCCTGGCCTATGTCCTTGGGTGATGTGAGCCTCACTTGGATCATGTAGCTTGGAAAGAAAGCTGACCCTCTGTCATTGGTCTGGAATCAGGGACTTGGCCCCCACTGCATTCTGATGAGATGTGGTATTCAGACACAGGCAGAGCCCAGGACACAGGAAGACACGCTCAGGCAGGCACCCCCACCCCTTTCCTCTGGGGCAGGGTCTGCCCAGCAGCCTCCAAGATTCCTAGGGCTCAAGAGGTGGCAGACAGCTCAGGGGACCAGGACAGGCAGTGGGATGAATATGTCTGTCATATCCACCTGTCCACAAACAATGCTTACCTTGGCCACCTGTGCCCAGGGGAGTGGGTTTTATCCTGTGAATCCTCCCAGTGACCACCACTGAGTGTGGCACAGATAAGTGGTACCAAGCCCAAGCCATTCAGGTCACCAGTGTCACTTTCCTCTCAGACCTCTGTTGTAGCTGACTTACTTTAATGCCGAGGAGGGCTGGGCACACTGGCTCATGCCTGTAATCCCACCACTTTGGGAGGCTGAGGTAGGTGGATCACCTGGGGTCAGGAGTTCAAGACTAGCCTGGGCAACATGGTGAAACCCCATCTCTACTAAAAATACAAACATTAGTCAAGGCTATTAGCCTGATAGCAGGCGCCTGTAATTCCAGCTACTTGGGAGGCTGAGGCAGAAGAATTGCTTGAACCTGGGAAGTGGAGGTTGCAGTGAGCTGAGATTGTACCACTGCACTCCAGCCTGGGCAACAGAGCAAGACTCTGTCTCAAAAAAAAAAAAAAAAAAAAAAATGCTGAGGAAGTGACTGTCCCACCTACATCCTCCAAGTTGACCATCACAATTTAGGGAGGGGAATGACCTTCAAAGGGCCTAGGAGCAAGTCTTTCAATCGTTGAGCTTTTGCCATTATGGGCCATTGTTTACAACATGCTGTTTCTAGGTTCCCTGGAGGTACAATTAGCCTCCTCTTTTAAACAAAGCTAATCTGCAAAAATGAACCAAAAATTATTTTCCACCAGAGATCAGTTAGCAGAATGAGCTGGGTGCGGTGGCTCACACCTGTAATCCCAGCACTTAGGGAGGCCAAGGCAGGTGGATCACTTGAGGTCAGGGGTTCAAGACCACTGTGGCCAACACTGTGAAACCCCATCTCTACTAAATATACAAAAACTAGCTGGGTGTGGTGGGGAGCGCCTGTAATCCCAGCTACTCGGGAGGCTGAGGCAGGAGAATCACTTGAACCCAGGAGGTAGAGATTGCAGTGAGCCAAGATTGTGCCACTGCACTCCAACCTGGGTGACAGAGCGAGACTCCATCTCAAAAAAAAAAAAATAGCAGAATGATTCTTTGTGTTACAAAATAATCTGCCATAAGGAGTTGATTTTTTTTTTAATTTCTGAGTTTTCTTTTTAAATATCAAGTTATACAAGGGCATTCAAAATTGGCCTACAACTCACATGAATTTGGCAGCCTGTTTGCAGAGTCAAGCTTTTACATTGTTCTTGTGAAATGGGTACAGGCATAAAGCCACCCTGCACTTTTGAAAATTCATTTTGAATGTTGTTATTGTTGTTATTGTTGTTTTAATTCTTATGCAAGAAAAGGATCTGAATAGGGATTTCAGGCCATGCTGTCAAGCCTGGCAGGCTTGTAGATCATGCAGGAACTGGGAGGTGTGAGATTTTGCCAGTGAGATCCTG